TCCCCTACTTCGTGCGACCTAAAACAACCGAGAAAAAAGCCTGGTACGGGTGGTCTGAGACACCCTGTATACATATGTTTTTAGGGGTAATTTGAGTCAGAGAATTGATTTTTATGGTTGAAAAAGCGATACATCGAATTTAAATATCAATTTTTGCGATATTTTGTCCAAAAATTAAGATTTTTGTATGTATTTCCCAAGAAATTTCGATTTATCGATACAAGCCTTTGTTAAATCGAAATTTTGACATTAAAAAGAGATTTCTCGTGAAAAAATACATAGGGTGACGGATGTACACCTGCATGAAGTACTTAGAAATGTCGACAACTGAGGTACGATTCACACGAGTTTCCTGACTGAATTCGCTAATGGGCCATTCCACGCGAAATCGTCCAGGGATTGTTGCTTGACCGACCCCAATTTTTTTTATAATTTGGTTTTTTGTTAATTAATCCTATAAACGCACGAAAACCATTCTTTCACATCTGTTCAACCACCCTGGCATCCATTGCGGTCTTGTAGAGTTAAGGTCATGAACTGAATTTAAAAAAATCACCCTTCACAAAAACAGGCGTACCAAAAGTTCTGTTTGACCTACAGAATTGAAACGAAACTGCCGTAATCCTTCTTTTCATGATCTATCTTTTTGCTAGGCGCTAACATTTTTGTATCTTCAAGAGAAACGTTATTATTTTAGGACTGAATCGAGATGCATGTGGACTGCGAAACGACGAAAACCCCTTATTTTGAGGGGTTTTTTTTCACAGAGGAGAAAAGTCTCCAGAGCGTGCGTCCCATCGGGGAAATTGCGTTCTCAGTATTTCCCTTTTCAGCGCTTTTTAACACATGAGCGGGGGATCAAAGTGTCATTACAACAAAACAACTGCTCGCATCTGGCTGACATTTTTTTGCGGACTCTCTGAATGTATGTTAACTAAAAAATTCAGGTCTCAGACTTTTCTGCTCTGTAAGAAAAAAATCCTCAAAATAAGGGGTTTTCGCCGTTTCGCAGTCCAGATGCATCTCGATTCAGTCCTAAAATAACAACGTTTCTCTTGAAGATACAAAAATGTTAGCGCCTAGCAAAAAGATAGATCATGAAAAGAAGGATTACGGCAGTTTCGTTTCAATTCTGTAGGTCAAACAGAACTTTTGGTACGCCTGTTTTTGTGAAGGGTGATTTTTTTAAATTCAGTTCATGACCTTAACTCTACAAGACCGCAACGGATGCCAGGGTGGTTGAACAGATGTGAAAGAATGGTTTTCGTGCGTCTATAGGATTAATTAACAAAAAACCAAATTATAAAAAAAATTGGGGTCGGTCAAGCAACAATCCCTGGACGATTTCGCGTGGAATGGTCCATTAGCGAATTCAGTCAGGAAACTCGTGTGAATCGTACCTCAGTTGTCGACATTTCTAAGTACTTCATGCAAGTGTAAGTCCATCACCCTGGGTATTTTTTCACGAGAAATCTATTTTTAATGTCAAAATTTCGATTTATCGAAGGCTTGTATCGATAAATCGAAATTTCTTGGGAAGTACATACAAAAATCTTATTTTTTGGACAAAATATCGCAAAAATTGATATTTAAATTCGATATATCGCTTTTTCAACCATAAAAATCGATTCTCTGACTCAAATTACCTATAAAAACTTGTATGGTACGTATCGGTTATGTCTTTTCAATCCTCCAGAAATTATCTGAGAAAAAAACACGGTAAAATCGAAAATTTAAGATTTTGCAAATTCGAGCCCCATGTTTTCGATGAAAGCGTTGTCCTATCGAGCCAGGATTTTTTTCTCGTCCATTTGATGCTAAATGACACCTTCTTCTCACTACCCGTCATCGGATTTTGAAAAAAATGTTTTTTCACTCCACCCTATATTCCCCACCTCATTCGAGGTTTCTATTTTACCCCTGCTTGAGCATTTCCCCATCTCAATACGGACGTGTTTCTGCTAGACGGAACTAAGCGCTAGTTTCAGTTCCTTTTAAGGATTTTAAAGTGCCGGATAGTGTGTTCTGTCAAACGGAACTGTGCGCCATGAAAAAGCTTTGTGAGAATAGTACGGAATGAGATCCGCGGACCGCAGCACCCGCCAATCAAACCCGCATTCCCTTCCTTCTCCCTGTGACGCGTAGTTTCGCTTAGCAATATAAGGTCCATGTGTCCTGCAGCTGATCAAGCTTTGTTTGCACATCATTTCATTACCATAGGGTCATTCCATGAGGAATCATTCAGAGGTGGCTGCTCGACCAACTCAAAAACCATTCATATTTTCTCTTAAATTTTTGCATACTATCTAAGCACGAAAATGGTCGTTTTAAATTGTTTGAAATTTTTCCACACCGGTAGCGGCTCCCCAAAGTGACTATTTTCAGGAAACACAGCGTTTTCGGTACTAGGAATTACTCCGGAACGAAATGTCGGATTTAGGTTCGGTAAAAACAGAATGAAAGGTATGGGTACAAGCTATTCACATAGTGAAACAAAAAGAACCCCGAACGATCCTTATGGAAAATGGCTCTCTGTTATATCTGATGAAACTTGGATATGTAGCTCAGCTAGTCATTCTAATCTAAAGATCTCATAGGCCGAAACAGATCCCATGAGCGAAGCGGTATTCGAGATATTTGCCGTTTTACGTGTGTAAATTGAGGTTTCGCTGGCCGGACTATGGTGCGGAGCTATTCGTGTCCTTTCCTTCCAGTCCACATACCCAAGGCTCGGACTCTGACGCTCACGAGGCTTTGCTCATCGTCACCGGCCCGGGTGGTCTCATTTGGGTGGTGATAATACCACCCGGGTAGTCTCAAGGTAAACAAGTCAAAAGCCAGAAAATTGGTCACACTCAGTGCAATTCTCTGCCCACGGTAGAACGTCAAAGTTGATACATCCTTCAGTTAGGGCATTGTTCCATGTGTGATATCTCAGTGGGCAGCGCACGAAATTAATGAAAAAAGCACGAAAGCTACTCCTTATAGTAAGTATAATATGGTGTAAGTTTCATCAATTGGATTGCATTCCTCTGCTTGTAGCGAATTTTTTAATTTTGGCTTACACACAGACCCTCACACACACACACACACACACACACACCCTCACACCCTCACACACACACACACACACACACCCCATTGAAAAGCCAAATTTGGACAAATGCCCCATGGAACAATGCCCCAACTGAAGGATGTATCAACTTTGACGTTCTACTGTGGGCAGAGAAATGCACGGAGAGTGACCAATTTTCTGGTTTTTAATTTACCTATTATTAGACTGCTTCCACACAAAATTTCAGATTCTCAGCATGTTTCAGCTATGAGATGTGAGATCCAGAAATCAGTGATTTTCACCTGTAACGGCAGCGATTTCAAGACTCGATGACCGAATATAGAATCGCTAACAAAAAGTGTAAGTTTCACTATTTGAATAGCTTGTACCAATACCGCTCATTCTGTTTTTACCGCACCTTAATCTGACATTCCGTTCTGGAGTAATTCTAAGTACCGTAAACGCTGTTTTTCCTGAAAATGGCCACTTTGGGAAGCCGCTACCGGCGTGGAAAAATTTAAAACAGCCATTTTCGTCCTTCGTTAGTATGCAAGAATGTAAGAAAAAAATATAAAAGATTTTCGAGTCGATAGAGCAACAGAGGACCCCACACTGTCCTTATGGGAAATCCCCCCTCCCCCCTGTCAAATTTGATGAAACGTGGATATGCTGCTTAGCTCTTCATTCTGATCAAAAGCTCTGATGGGCTCGAGGAGATCCCATGTATGGTTTTCGAGGTGTTTGCCGTTTTAAATGCGGGAACGGAGGTCCGTCAGCACACCCAGATATGATCACCCGGCCCGGCGACGATGAGCGTCGGAGTCCGAGCCTCGGGTATGGGTAGCAGAGAAGCGAAAAGGGGCCGGAATGGACTGGAATAGAAGAACACGGGTAGCGCCGCACAGTGATCCGGCCGGCGGGACCTCCGTTCACGCATAAAAAACGGCAAATATTACGAAAACCGCACATGGGATCTCTTTGGGTCCTTGAGAGCTTTTGATCAGAATGACGAGCTAATTATAAGCAACATTTTAACCCGGGGGGGGGGGGGGTGTTCCGTAAGGATAGTGCGGGGCTCTTTCCAAAATTTGTGATGATTTTCAATGAAATGACCGCATTGTAACTTCCCCTTTAGATAAGATGCGTTGACTATTGTCTCTGGGTTCTTATTGTATTTTTCTTTAGTGCAACAAATTAAAAAAGAAAAAAAACAGAGAAAAAGAGAAAAGTTTAGTTGATAGATGCTGAGAATTAGGCTCTTACGAGATGAAATAACTTATCAGTTAAGTTTGACAGCATTACAGAATGATGTTTTTCAACTTCCGACTAACTCCCTGCATGATCAAACTTGAAAGACTTCCTGGTTACGACAAACGAAAACAAATGCTTATTTACTATATGGGGTACTGGAAAGTGAAAGAAGGATGGAGGAGGTAGGGGTGCGGAATCTTCCAAGCTTCCACATTTTCACTCGCCCGCCAGCCGCCTTTCCACATTTTCTCATCGATTTTCCAAAATATTTCCCACCAATCTAAAAAAGACTGATGATGACTTTTTCTTCTTTTTTCCTTTGATTTTCGACTTTAGACCCCACAACATGTTCCCTCCTTACACAATTTGGGGGGCTGTTCCACATTTTCACGCGCTCGGGCGGGCGCGACTTCTGCATTCCTGGGAGGGGGGAGTGAGAAAGCTGGGCGGTGAAAGAGAGAGAATAACAACATGTAAAAGAAGGAAATCATTACTCCAATCAGAGAAAAATGAGATTAAAAAAATATGTATAAATGACTATTAAATGGCAAGATTTACTCCATACATTTTTATTTTCTCATTTGAAAGGTTTTTCTTTTCTCTCTCTTCTTTTTTTTCAGAATAATCAGAATATAAATATTACTAACAAAAAGAATTGGGAGAGTTAAAAGGGAACACGGAAAAAAAATTTTACCTTAAAATTCAATAAGGCCATTTCTCTAAATGCTTTTGCAGACAGTTTTTGCTTTGCTTTTTTCAGTTTATTCAATATGTCGGAGACAGAGAGTAGCTCAGGACAAAGGGCACTGCTCAGTTCCTTCAATTCCAAAAATTGAAAAGTTCGCATCGTGCGACTGAGTTTGTTGAGTATGATACCTCTTTCTGAAAACAAACAAAAGAAGGAGAAATAAATTAAAACAAAAAAATCAATACATTACCAATTCTTATTTTCTAGAGTAATGGATGTTGAAACTAGTAGAATTTTAGCCTGTTTGCATACTATTTTTCTATGATTTCTGGAACCAGGGCATACCATTTCATTTGCCTATAATTGACTCAGTTTTGGTTCATGTGCTTTGTGACCTTCTGCATCTACTTCCTGTGTATTCAAATACAATTTTTTCCTCCTTTGTTATAATAGGTTATGTTTCTGATGAAATATTTCTTCTAGTAAGTATGACAATTATTTCGTATTGTAAAATATTAGAAGAAGGGTGTTAAAATTCAGAACATCTCTCTTTCAAACTCAAAAGCAAAATAAATGGAGCATAAAGTGCTTGAAGATACAAGGTTTTTAGCGAACACACTTATTTTTGTGCCTAGGACAAAAGAAAGTTATTCTAATAAAAACGAAGGCATTCAAAAATAAGTTTTCCAAGAGATCTCTGACCGGTAAATAGAGGAACTGATTTTGTAAGTTAAACAAAACAAATCAGGTTATTTAGAGCAGAAAATGTAAAATGTCCCGTAGCAAATGGGAAAAAAACTATGACAGATTATTTTTTCTTCTCTTTTTTTTGGTAGAGCTAGCGCTTTCTGGTTATGGAACAAAATGCCTCGAAAAGAAGCTATAGTGATTCAAACGCGAATGGTTTTGTTCATGACATGACTTTTTCCTCAAAGCATTCTACGCCTGGTGCTCAAATGACGTGGCATACTCGTCAAATTATACGAATGGGTTAAAATAAAGTTAACAGTTTTGCCAGAGTTCAGTCCTCAATTTTAAACTGAAAAGGTTTCCTAAAATTCTGATGCAGCTTTTGTAAAAGGTCATTTGACAGCACCAAACAAAGTCTTCGTCTTCATCTTACAGATCATGTTCAAGCGAGTCTGCATGTGTTCCATGTCTTAATGCTTACTTTTTCATTGACGCACCTAGGGATCTTAAATGTACCGATAACTAACATAGCTGTTATCAATGACAGCTATAGGAAAATAATAGTCAAACTGATTCCATTGAGCGGTTGAACTTAACATAGTTACACAGATATGGTGATTAGTCTTGAGATTTTGGCGTGGTTTAGCTGGTGTGCTGTATATCACATCCTTCAGTAAAAAATCTCACAAGCAGATATTGACTACATGATGGCCAAATAGCCAAAAAGAGGATGATAGCCTCTGCCCATGAGCCTGAATGATGATTCTCAACCAAAAAAATTGTAAATCCAGCAAAAAGACATCAGGATTCTTCTTGGAAAAAACACTGCATACAGTACCATATGCAACCTCTGTATCAAATGCTACTTTTTCCCCACAGAGAATCCTGCTCTCCTTTCGCTGGATTTGTAAATTTTTTTGACTGACGATGATTCTTTGGGCTCATGAGCAAGGGCTTCTGTCCTATTTCGGACTAGAAAGTCAAATTCTGCCAAGAATTCAGACTTAATCAAAGTGATAGATCACAAACTAATTTGATTGTGTCAAGAACCCAAGAGGAATCACCTCAAATCAGAGGAATGTGTATTTCTAAATAAAAATCATGAAACTGGAACTTGGATTTTAGTTGACGTCATGACTTGAAGAATCTTGCCACAGTCCAAGGAGTCCTTACCCCCTGTAACGGGGAATTTTTTCCCCCGTTTTAAGTTTAAGCTCATGTGAATTAAAAAATTGAAACAATAAGAAAGTCGCACACGCACATGCTTGGCACCGCCGCGCCGCGCCTGCGCCGGCGAGCCGAGGAAGAAATCAGCCGACGCTCAGTGTCCGTCCGAGTACTACGACGCGCAAATAGAGAGCGCTGCGACGATTCTAAGCATTTTGAAATATTTTTCATTATTTTGAAATTTTAAAAAAAAATTGTATTTTAATTTTAATTGTGCAGATCGATGAAATAAGTCAAGGCAAAGCCAACGATGTAAATTTCATATTTTTCATGAGATCTTGTATGCTTACAAAAATGAACGGAACTCGAGCACTTGCTTCTTTTTGAAATTTGTAAATTGGTGGCCTCCCGACCAGACCCATCGATCGGGGGGGACGTTGCGATCCAGCAGACAGTTACGCTACGAAACGAGTAAGTCGGTCGAGGTGCAGCGGGGTGAGCTCGCATTTCCCTTCATACTATACGATTTTAGCAGGAATTTGCGGTTGGAGATTTTCGGCGGTAGGGGCACCGCGAATCCTATCGAAAAACTTCTCTAGTTCTGGACCTCTACGGCTTCGGACAAGTAGGTCGAGGTGCCCGGGCCGAGGTGCATCTCCTTCTTGAGCGTGGCCATAGAGGAGAGGGCTTCCTTCGAGGAAACTACGGATAGAGGTGCCCGGGCTGAGGCGCTTTCCTCTGTGGGTTCTGATACGGCAAGCGCAGACCCTAGCATTTGGAAGCGATTTAGTTCATTTTATCAAGACGAATATTTACCATGTGTTTTTTTGAGTAGATTCCCTCGAGTTTCGGTCAGGAAATTTTAGATTATAAGTGAGAACTATTTTATGTGTGGAAAAATGTTGCCAGATCTCATCCAAATTCTATATTGTTCCATAAATCCTTGTAAATTTTGGAAGAACGCTTTCGAATTCTTCAAAAGAAGAGCGAAGTAGTGGTGCGCCGTCTGAGTAGCATCAAACCGAGCTCTACGAAATTTTCCTTTCCCTTTGATTCAAAAAATTTTCCACTCCCTCTTTCAATTTCGATTTCACTCCCTTTTTTCAATGGCGCCCGAATCCAGGCATCCCACTGCAGTTTATCCGGCACCGTGAAGTAACGACGGCGGATCTTCGATTCCGAGGTTTCCTCCTGTGAGGCTTCGGAGACATGTAGGGTGTTCCGTCTTTAGGCAACCATCTCAAAACCTTGCTCCCCGGGCTTTTTCCCATTCCTTTTGGTCCCCAAAAGACAATTCTGAAGTTTCAGCACCATAGCTGAGGTCTACAATTTCCCCTAAAGCGATAAAAATTTCGGGAGCAATTACATTGGTTTAAATGGGGAGAAAATAGGCCGATTCGCGAAACTACGTTTTCCAGTCGTAAAATGCGCCAAAATGATTTCAAACCTGACCATCTCTTGAGAAGTCGTCCAGAGGCCTATTTTGAATGAGAAAATTCCACTTTTGACCCAGAGATGGGGGAAGGGTGGGTCACGGCGCAGTTAGTTTGGAGGCACTGCGCCCAGCAAAATGATAGCATTTGACAGTTTTCAAAAGACAGGTCAGGACTGTTTGACAGGTCTCAAATCGAAAAACTCACTGTTATGATCCATTCAAGTGCCATAAAAACGTGTACAGAGCCACTCTAAGAGTTATCTCGGAGGAATACTTAAAGAAGATTGACTAAGTCAAGAGCATTCAGAAATCATCACCAGGACTTGCAATTTGCATCGGATGTCGAGCAAAGTTGGACAGCTTGATCGGTGAAGATGTGAATAAAAATTCGCCAGACTTTCAGCTAACACCATCATCTGCTCCTAGTGACAGTCAAAATTGGCTTAAAAACCACCAAAAACCCAAAGAGGGGTAAAAGTCCCGTCAAGCCTATGAGATCTTGGCACAAAACTAGTATGTGCCTATCTAAGACGGAAGAGGGGGAAGAATAGTAATCTCTCGAAAATTACAAAAGGAAAAAAAAAGTTGCTCTCACTCTGTTTTCCGTTTCAAACCTCAAAATGTCTGATATCATTTGAGGTCAAGATTTTTTAAGAGCACGTACGCCCCTGAAGTACAACCAGGGAAGTGACAGGTAATTCTGCTGGGAGTCCCCTTCAGTCAGTCTCTTATGCAACCAGGTTTGCAGCAAGTTTAGTTGCCAGAGTCACTAATGTAAGGAAACATTGTTGGATATGCTTTTTACGAGAAGGTGCTGTGCGATAGGTAAAACAAGCAGTTCTCTCGACACTGGCCTTCCAGTCTCAAACCTCAAAATATTTGATATCTTTTGAAGTCAAGATTTTTTACCATTTCCTAATCTCATTTTCATGTGCCTTTTGCATTTTCCTAAAAAAAAAAATCTTCTCTCATTCATCAATGTACTTCACTCAATTTTCCTCTAATTATTTGCCTTCATTTCAGGTATCCGCAACTCTTCTCACCTACAAACGCTATGTAAGGAACCATTGTAATATTTAAGGGACCTCCCTCGTTTAGATCAAGAATAGAGTAAATATTTTGAATTCAGATTCTGGCATCCTCATCGAACATTTTTCACATAAAAAGTCAGGTAGATGGAGGCAGAAGTTTGGATAAGAGCAAATTAATAGCGTAAAAAATCAAAAATTCTGGCGAGACGGTCCTAAGAACTTGAATTACCCAGTGGTACTAAGTTTCATAACTTTTACTACCTGTTCGTTTCATAACTGATCAAAAATTATAAAAGCACGTGGTATAAAACTTTGATTTTGCATTTTTATCTCAATCCTTAAAGACGCTGGTTTACAACGCGATGTCGGTCGTATTGATTAAAAGTCTGCATGCATAGGTTGGCAGCGGCATTTTCTTCGTGATTTTCATATTACACGTTGTCGCCCTTTTACACCCTAAGAGCTACATAAATCGAGTCGTCCGTGCTCTCCCTATAAAGGTACTCTACAGATCTTACAGATCGGAGTGAAGAGGGAAACTACTACAACCAAAAATACACTATATTCATTCCCAAGTTAGTGTGCTTCCCATACATTAAGAGTCCTTAGGTGAAAAATCTGGACCCTTAATCAGTTGCTTTTTTAAGGTAATGGTTGGTTCATAAGATTTCCCTAGCGCTTTCTTCAGTTAAGTGAGCCTCTCTGGAGTAAAGATGTTGGGAGAAGGGTTATGGAAACCCAACATACCATCACTTTTATTTTCCAGACGCCTTTCACAAATCACATGCAGTGAGAACCATTCAGTAAAAATCCGAGCAATTTTTGAGTTGCTGTACCTAAGTTATTAGGGTCAAAAAATGGTGTAATTTAAGTGTTTTTCAGTTTTACAGGCCTTTTCGGGGCAGAAACATGATGTAAAAAATATTTAAACCCAAAATACCATAAATTTTATTTTCCAAAAAATATTGCACATACCAACCATGAGGACCATTCAGCCAAAAATTGAGCAATTTTTGAGTTGACTTTTCGGGATAATGGTCGAATATCGGAATAATTTTGGTGTTATTTTCAGTCTTCAACCCAACGAAAAATGGGCCCGGGGTGAATATTTGGGGGAAAACGACCCTCTCTTTATTGGAAGTTCGAAACATCGGTTACTTGAAAATTCTTAAAACTTCAAAAATTCGTGTCTCAGTGAGTTTTTCGATTTGAGACCTAATATTTTGCAAAAGGCATTACTTGGCGGTCTGATCAAGAAAAAAATAATCCACTAAATCCGAATCTGGCAGTTGCATGGTTGGTAGGTTCTGCCTACATGGAATGACCCTACACCTATCTTCACAGGGTAAAAGACTCTGCACACTCCATGTGAAAATGTGTGCCCTGTCCGATTTACAATTATTGTATTGTATTAAACTTGTCTATTAATGCTGATAACAGGGCAGCATTGTGCCGACTTTCCGTGAGGCACCATTTGTGCGCGGTTTGCGGTTGAAGTTTCATCACTTCCTTGAATAGATGAAGGCTGCATCACTATATAACAAGGAATCACCTGGCCAGTAGGGATTATGGAAAAAAGTGGGAGGGAGAAAGAAACTGATTCGGAGGATGAAACGAAAAGGCAAGGGAATCTGAGATAAGACTACCGCTCCGCACAGTAGTGGTTCAGATCAGTGATTCAAAAACGTAAAAAAACCTGGACGCTCCGAGGTTTTCCTCATTTTCAGCAGGTGCTGAAAGATAGAGAAATCTCTTTGACCCTTCATCGCCTTCATTCATTCAAGGAATGATCAACGAAAGTTCAACCACAGATTATGCAAAAACGGTGCCTCGTAGAAAGTTGGCGCAAGTATGACTATTGACCAGCATCTACAGACGAGTTTCATGCAATAAGAAAATTTGAAATCGAACGGAATACACATTCTTCTGAGGAGCATGCAAGGTCCCTTGAGTCAAGAGCTGCAATTTCTGAGTAACAGGTGAATAATGCCGTAACTGTGGAGCACATATTTATGAAAAAGAAACCAGAAAAACACACTCACCCAATTTCATAACTGTGTTGCTTGACTTATAATATGCAATAAGCTGTGACTGTGAGTACCAATACCGTGATGTTTATTTCTTGCAGGCAAAGCGAAGACCAGAGCAAAGCAAAGAATAATTATAGAGTACAATAGAGTCGCAAAGTACTGGATCGCCGATGAAGTCTCTTTTCGAGGCTGTTTTGTCTAAAGTATCGATACTTTCGATCGATACTTAACGATACTCGGCATCGATACTCCACGATATTTGGGAAAAAACAAGACTGACCATCCCTACGGTTTTTTGGTTTTTGCGTTTGGCCCAGATATTCCAGACCAAATTTTCATCAAAAACCAAAGTCTGTCATCGGTGTCAAACTCGCTCCTAATGTAAACAAACGAACGGCGACATAGTCCGGACATAAACAAAGCGGACACTCAGAGCGGACTTCCTCGAGATCAAGGCGGATAAAGAATGGTGGTCGCATTTCGATTTTGGCTGCCATCTTGAAGCGTTGTGACGTCAAGAGGGTACGGGTTTTGCCGTGCAATCCGAGGTTGAGTCGGCCCCCCCGGCCTCGGCCAGCCCATGTACCCGATGTACCCGATACCGTGTGACGTCCAGAGGGTACGAAATGCGACCACCATTCTTTATCCGCCTTGCTCGAGATGTTCCAGACTCAATTTCTCAGCGTTAGCGTTTCTTCACCTCGACAAAAGAACTTTCGTCCGCGTCTAACATTTATCCTTTTCGTAAAATCAAATATCAGTTACCCCGTTGATCTGTTCATGGTGATTTCAAGTGAAATTGCGGCGAGATACTCCAGACTCCTAATGTAAACAAAGCGGCCTGTACCTGGTCGAGATGTTCCGGACTCATTTCTTCATTTACGTTTCTTCATCTCGACCAAAGAAGTTTCTCGCGCATTCAAAGTAACATTTTCCGGTTCCATTGTTAGAGAAGAAACAAGTCATTTTGTTGTAAGTTAGGATAATATTTGTGTTGATTAAGTGGCTTGAGCATTGGACTACCTGGCTGCGCCTTGCATAGCTGCCTCCTATATCAAGATGATTGGGAGAAAAGCTTACTGGTTGATGTGCGAATCTGAATCCTAAATCCCTAGGAACGGTAGTTGTGAAATCCAGATGGATGTATAACGCTAGGTACCTTGCTCCTCACTCACTTTCTCATGGATGTTCGCTGGTCTCTCCAAGGTTCTGGTTTTGCGATGCGTTGAAGCCAATGCTTTAAGTTTAGCTATAACAACCAGGCTTCGGAGATACTAATTAACAATCCTAGCAGTCACCAAATTCTCCAGCAAACCCGCATAGTTGTCTATTAACAGCTGAAGAAGCAATGGAAACCGTATTTACCTATGACAACAAGATTTTTTCCGTTGGAACTCTGATAGTAAGTATGAGGGGGAACTATCACCTTTAAGGCACGTTTCTCCATGAATTTTCTTGTTTTTTGGCATCAAACTAAGTAGAACTCAAGGAAAATGAGGCAAAACTTTACAAGTTACCATGTAAGGTTCATCTGCTGAAAAAATAGAATAAAGTCTAAAATTCCTAATGAACATCACCAAGATGGTTCTGCCACCAGCAGTTCATTTTTTAAGGCACGGATCAAATACGGTTATCTATTATTCTCACGGTGCCCATCAAATTATAGGTAAGAAACCTAGTCCTGTAATAATAATGGCATGGAATGACAGGCTCTAATTGGTGACTTGACCATCCCCAATAAGTTGTCGAAAGAATTTACTTCTTAAAAGATCCTTTGCGAATAAAGTCAAGTAAATATGCAGATAAAAGTCCCGTGTGATATGTGAAGTGTACTTATTCAAAGTAATTTCAAAGGGAAGGGATGAAATGTTCAAAAGGTAACGTCCTTTGCAAAGTTGTAGAGGCGCTAGGCACAAATTGGACAAGGTGCCGCTAAGTAATGATTAAATGAATTTTTTATTGTTATTTATTACGGAAAAGAGGAAAAGAGAATCAGGCCGAATGCCAAAATCCAAAATTCGAAAAGTGTAGGCGTAGGGTGTTGTAGGAGCCGAATACTTCGAGATTACGGGCGGCGAGCGGCAACCTGATTGGCTACGAAGATTGCCGAGCATGGCCGAAGGCCTACTCGCCGCTTGGTAGGTGTTGACGGCGGTTTGACAAACAGCAGTTTTTGGTGAAATGTGGTCCGGAATATCTGGGCCAATCTGTTCACTCCCATACCTACACGTTTGTTTTGAGGTTAAAATACATCTGGTTGTAACTAGAGTCCCTTTATGCTGAGAGTCAAGACAATTCGGCTCATGGATGATGGATGTCACAAACGGGAATAAAGATTACAGAAATTGAACGTTTTTCGTAATCTTTGATCGGCCCATTCTCAAATGCCTTTCTCCGTTCCTCCTCTCATTCCGTTTGTTCCTTGCCGAACCCGTAATTCCCTGGTCCATTCCAGACTGTAATCTTTGCAATTGGTGAAAATGTAATCTTTATTCCCGTTTGTGACACTGTGGAGGCCTAAAATACGGGAACCAATCAGAAATGGATTCAAATTGTCTTGACTCTCAGTATAAAGGGACTCTAGTTGTAACTAGTTGTAACGTTTTACACGGCTCTTATGGGGAAAACCTGAAAAAAGCTATTTTTCACTCCTTTAAGTAAAATTTGATGGGGGAAGAATTTTTTCCCTTAAACTTCAAGTATGGAGGCCTTGAATGCATTTAACTTCGGCGGCTGAATCTGTTTCTGGGTGGGAAAAAAAAAATTTAATAGTGGAAGTACATACTGCATAGGGACTGCATCCGTCAACGGAATGGAGAGGAGGGGAGGGGGATGTGGTTATCCACTTGAATGTTTTAAATTCTCTGCCAGGAAAGTGATTCAGTGGCAAATTTTTGGTATTTATGTTCCACGAATGTTATACTTCCAAGAAAAGATCACTTAAGGTCACCAGTCATCTCATGTTACTCTTAATTTCACTTATTCACCTCGTCGTTCTAATATAATACACCTACTTTTGCTCGGTAATAGGCAGTAATCTCAGATAAAGTTAGTTTTTCTTTTGCTCATGGTGGTTCTGCCGGTTCAAACAGGCCGTTACGGTCCTAGATGACCGTTACTCCCAAATGAAATTAATCGGTCGACGACGGACTAAAACTAACCTAAAGTTAAAAAAATATGAGTGGGTAAGTGAATTTGGGCAAAAATCAACCTAGAATACTTTGTTTCCGCAATTTTATTTAGTTCCCGCCCTACATTTGAATTTCAAACTTGTCCCGATTTCGCCGCCAATCCTCTAGCCAATAGTAGAGATGATTGAAAAGAAGCTTCATTTTTTGCTTTTAGCGCTCCGTCTTTATAGAGTACCTATATTGAGAGAGTATGGCCACTGGGTCCCATGGAGAGGCTTAGGACCCAAAAATGGCGGTGCTTTGTTTTGGTTTTTGTGGATGGGAGGGGGGTCATTGCCAACTTTTGACGGTTATCACCAACCGCACTTGCTGCCAACCTTACTACATCTAAGATAATTTTTCTCAAAAATTGCACACGATTAGCCTTAAAAATATGTAAAGATGTCGCAATAGTGCATTTGAGTAAATTTCTCGTTACGATAAGCAAAGACAACAACATTTTGAGTCATTTTGCATTACATTAACTTATGGCGTCCGCCATTTTTGGGTCCTAAGGGCTCCATTCAGCCTAAGATGGCTGAGCCAATCAGAGGTGGTAACTCAAGTGGCCATACTCTCTCAATATAGGTACTCTACGTCTTTATGTCTTTGGTACATGGTACATGCACTTATACTTAAAGCGTCCAGCCCACGTACAAACTGGGGCTCTCAAACTGGCACTAATTCTTCTATTTCTCAGCCATTTCTGCACGGAATGCCTTGAAAATTTCAAGAATTGTGATGTATCCCGAACACATCGGTTACCCTAAAAGATCGTCGGCCCGACGATCTTTGAAAGGCAACAGTCAACAGTTCCATCGATGAGCCTCTTTGAGGCCCCTAATTTGTAGTAGAGTCCCTTTATACTGAGAGTCAAGACAATTTGAATCCATTTCTGATTGGTTCCCGTATTTTAGGCCTCCACAGTGTCACAAACGGGAATAAAGATTACATTTTCACCAATTGCAAAGATTATANNTGAACAAAATATTACCACAGTTATATAAAGTATAAAAATGTTAAAAATGGATTTTTCCTGAAGAATATTAGCATTTTTGCACTCAGCGACCCTAAAAACCCCTGAAAACTCATGTTGCGAGGTTTAAACATACATATCTGATTTAATGCCGCTTAAACCGGCTATTCGGACCATAGTGCGCCGTGGAGACAAGGCCTAAAGGGACTCTAATTTGTAGGTGGGCTGGACGCTTATGATATACGGAATCGTCACCTTCCAGGCAAAGTATCACAAGCGCCATGCAACGTTTAAAAATTTCCGCAGTCATTTTATTTTTGTACAGAAAAATTGTTCAACAAATCTGTCCGACAATTTTACAGAATTTTTATTTTGCTGCCAATAAACTTCAGTGAAATTTTCAAACAGATTCAACCAATAATTTCTCTGTAAAAAAATGAAATAGCGGCGGAAATTTTTAAACGTTGCATGGCGCTTGTGATACTTTGCCTGGAAGGTGACGATATCCCGGTGGGTCGAATGCAGTCGAAATGTCGAATGCTGTTGAGGGCAGCTACTTCCCCAAACGGTATTTCCCCAAACCAAATCGCGCATGGATATTTTATCAAACTTGAAACATCGGCAGTGAGAGAGTATAAAAGGCCAAAATATAAACAATGTTTTGTTTGACTGGCAATGTTGCCCTTAAACGCTGCCAATTTGATGATAAATTTAATAAAAGTTCCGGAGTATTTTCCACTTTCCAGGTTCCCTCTTTACGACGTCTTCTCAGTGTAATGAGAGATTTCTATGAGTGAGAGTGAGTACGTGACGTGTTTTCTTTAGGTGTTTCTCATATTTTCAACGCTTTTGATTTCCTTTTGAACCATATTTTGTGTGATTATTATTTTGGGTTTCTGAAATCTCAAAGAAAACCCAAAGGCGTAAATATTGCTGCCTAACCTCCATCCCAAGGATCACAATGATCAATGACCACGGATCACGGTCAATCAAGTTTAAACAGTATAATATTTCTGAATTTCTCAATCAATATTCAATAGTGCTTTCAATTCTTACAAACAGAANCAAGGCGGATAAAGAATGGTGGTCGCATTTCGTACCCTCTGGACGTCACACGGTATCGGGTACATTCGGGTACATGGGCTGGCCGAGGCCGGGGGGGCCGACTCAACCTCGGATTGCACGGCAAAACCCGTACCCTCCTGACGTCACAACGCTTCAAGATGGCAGCCAAAATCGAAATGCGACCACCATTCTTTATCCGCCTTGAGTGACATCGACAGTGGACTCCCTAATCAACTGCTTCTCTATTTGATACAATAATGCCTCTTCGTACACAGAAACATAGTACCGAAATTATCTTCACATTTTTTTTAAGTAAAAATACCAGCGTTTTAGTGAATTTTTCCTGTGCTGCTCTGGAATTCTCGTGAACGCTGCGCGTACACCTGGGCCTGTGTTCTCTCTCGGTCCTGCAAGTTTTGTCCTCAGATATCCATCCGCGTTCTGAGTGTCAAGGAGTAAGAAGAAATGTTCATAATTAGTCCAGAATATTAGAATGGATATTGGCTCGTCCTCCTCGTAGCAGCACAAATTCATCAGTAAGGCCTCGGTTACTTGTGTATATCTCCGGTGATTCATTCGGCTTGTAGTGCGTTGTACCATCCAAAGATTGTGATACTTCGGATTCGTTCGTATATTTCGGTGAAGCATGAGCCACAATTGCTCTTGTGATTCGGGCCCTGCGCCTATCAAGCAGCCATTTGCTGCATTGTGTGATTCTTAGCTCAATCTCTCGTCCATATTTTTTCATCAGTTCATTATGCTAAGAGGTGAAGCTAGGGACCGTGCCAAAGAACGACGAGAAGACACGAAAAGATCCGGTAGAATTCTCGCTCCATCAAGAGGTGCCATGCTCACCAGTGGCCATAGTGTCACCAGTCGGCATAGTGTCTCCAGTAGCTCATCCGTCATGATGGTTGGTCCAAATTTTCGTGTCGGCAAAAAAATCGGTTGTGGAAATTTTGGAGAGCTTAGACTTGGTGAGTAACTCTTCTTATTCACTTATGACTACAGGTTTACGTATACTCCCTGTGGCCCTTATCTGTGTAGTCCAATTGAGCTTCAGTTCCTATAATCACCATTATGTACCTAAAAAACATTCTCGCTTATCACAATAACTTCAGCTTTATATTGGTGCTGTGGATATTTTATCAATGGTTTACTGTTTGAACGGATTTTATGTAGGCTCGTACCTCATTCCAGTATTCAGGCGCACACTTGATGGCACTTGCCCAACCAGCATCAAATCCCGACGTCAAGCATACGATGGAGCAGCAATAGAATTAGTGGATCAGTAATTAATGCCAGATTCAACTCCAAATTTGGTTGCCACTTGCCAAAGTAATCTTTGAATGTTTATATTCATCCCGAAAATAGGAAAGCAAGGTGGAAAAAAAAGGAAAGCCTATGTTACATTATGATCAGAAGTACTCTACATCAAGATACCCAAACTTTCCTCAAGTTACTTACTGTCCGTACTTAAATAAGGTATGAATGATTTGAATTCCTAATTTATTGTGATTTCAATCTCAATTATCCAGTGAACCCCTTCATTTGCATCTTTGGTGATCTCGCGTAACATCAAGAGTCGTTGATTGACTCATGCTTTTTATTATTAATATTAGATCATTCCATGTGAAATCAATTAAGTAAGAGAAAGCCCTGATTTTCTCCATCTGCTTCCATTTTTAGCCCTTAAATTTGAAAAGGGTTGAAAATCCAACGCATCAACTTTTCCCGTGAAGTTTCTTTGTCAGGATTCTCTTGCACCCTTAAAGTTTAATGTTCAAGATTCCGTGATACCCACCTACTAAGCTTTTTTATTTTGTTTTGAAGTTCCTAGTACGCTTCATGAGATGATCACAATTCTGCAACATTATTTTCAAGGTTTTATATGGGTGCTCATCCTATCCAAGTTTAGGTTGGAGGGCGTGGGTGATAGAATGGGTTCACATCATTTCCGCCCACTCCACTGTTCTGACTGTTTTTCCCATTTTCATCTCTACCCATTTTATTTTCACCCGAAGTTGGTTTGGCAACAGCAAAGAGAGCCTTGAGCCCTCTAGTCATCTTCTGTGCATCTATTTTATTGCAAGGAGTAGACAGACAGAGGTACACATCTTTAGACTAGTGACAAGAATCCAGGAGTGGTGGCGAGAACGTCACCTTAATTTGCGGGTAAGTGGACTGGCGGCTGTTGACAGGCGTATTGACCTTGCTGTGATATTTTAGGTGCAATGATATTATATGTAGATTTTTTTATTGAATCTAATTCTAATCAGATCAGCCCTAAAAATGGACAAAAATTTTAAAATTATTGAAAGTGGTCGTGACCAGGAGTGCCTAATGTATGAGGGATTTAAGTTTAGGCATGCGCGTACCCCTAATTACGTCTTCGTGTGGCATTGTTCATTAGCTAAAAACTGCGGCCCAATCTAAGTCACAAATCACTCCCAATGGACGATTCTAAAGATGTATGGTACGCACGACCATACAGCAATCACTGGAAAAGAAGTGCAGCTGCAATAAATGTGTCCAGCCGTTTAACGAAAAGCTATTGAAAATCTACATGTGCAACCGTCCAAAATTTCAAGAACAGTTTTAGTTGAAGCAGATGATGAAGATGTAAGGGACATGACTTACTTTGACAAGGAGTACCTCACTCTAGCAGCATGCGGAGCTAGGCAGAAGCTTTTACCTTTCACTACTTCCTTGGGTCCAGAAGAAGCCCTGATGCAACTTTGAAAGAGTTCGCATCAGGAAGAAGATAAAGGGTTAAAAATTTTTGCAAATGAGGTCAAAAAAATAGTCAGTATTTCTCTTCCAGCAAATTTTTCTCTTCTGACATGAAACAGTTAAGTTATACTAGCAGACGGTACATTCAAGTATGCCCGAAAGTATCTTCTGCAGATCTACACAAATCAAGTATTTACCAATGGGATGAACATACATGTTGTTACTTTCTTCTCAGCATCCAAGGCAGAATCAACATACGTCGCCATGTGCCATTTCGCCGCCTCTTAAAAAATGTGCCTAGAAATAACTAACACCGAGCTGGTAATTCACAAATTGATGCTAGATTTTGAAGTTGCGGCACGTAAAGTGTTTGTAAGTATTATTACCTATTCAAACTAGTAAATTTAATCTCTGGCAAAGTTGGTTCGGAAGAATTCATGCCTCACCGCAACTTCGTTCAGCCCATTACTATAAATCTGGTCACGATCAGTCTTTCTCAAAAACTGAATGATGGCTGAGAATATTTTTTAGTTTATCGTATTTGAAAGTACAGGAGGTTCTACCCACTTTCCTTAAGCTTCAGGAAATGAAGCCTAATAATCCTGCTCGTCACAAGTTCAGTGCGTAAGTATGTTTGCAAGGATCAAATTTATTCGTTGATTCACCCTCCCTCCTTGTGGGCTCCTTTTTCTCCAAGGACCAACCTACAACAACCAATGCTGTCAAGAACATAATGTTAGCCTTGATTTTGAGTTTTATACAAATCATCCAAAGATCCATGAAAAAATTCTACAGATCAGAGACGCCCAAGTGATGATTTCTTTGAAAATTAATTCTGTCAACAAAAATGAAACTTTCACTGAAATAAAATCTCAGTCGGAGGAGGACGAAATGATTGTAAGCCTGACCCATAGTCCAGTCAATCTGGCTTTTTATTTTGCGCAAATCTGAGGAGAAAAAAGTAAGACGGATTCCCAATGTAATTTTGGTCGCTGAACCCGAATCTGATGTTTGCCAACAAAAATTTTGCCCGTTAATGGCCGCTATCTTGAAAAAATGGCGGAAAATCACGTTCCCCACCTCCCCCCACCCCAAAAAAAAATCTCACTTATTTTGGGGTCTTTGACTATATGAGTTATCTTTATTTGAAAAGTACGTAAAATTTCCTATCAAACGGCTTTTCGATTTTTGAAATCGAACAATGGACCACTAGACAAGGTACGAATTTAAGCAATCTGATACATGTTTCTGAACCAGAATTTCACGTAGAGCACGATTCGCACAACGAAAATTACTTAAACCAACTCCTAACAAAGATATTAACGTTTTTATTTCACATTGGTTATGAGGAATTTGAACTGCCCGCTCACAAGAAACTCAAGGCTCTACGTGAGTCAAATCGCGCACTACAACGGTTTCTGCAAGCCTCTCAATCGAGCAATGTTCATTTCCCACCATGTGTTGTTCAAACTATTAGCAATTTGCTACAGCTGAGCCAAAGCGTCAAGATTGAGGTTGCCAGATTTTTATGTCGCAGAGACTGTCATGATAACGTTTAGCGCGCGATGTGAATCACGTTGAGCATTGAGTTTTCATGAGCGGATGGTTTGAATTTACGCATCAAGAATCATAAAATATCTTCGTAAGGAGTTAATTTCGGTAATTTTCGTTGTGCGTATCGTGTTCTACGTGAAATTTTGGTTAAGAAACATGTATTAGAATGCTGAATTTCGTACCTTGTCTAGTGGTCCATTAGGGTAAAAGTTATGAGCGATTGCGTTAGAGGTGGTTTACGGGTTGATGAGTTTTTCGTAAAATTTGCTGCGTAAAAACGCTGTAACGCTGTTGGAAGTGAAACAGAAATTCCGAAAATGGTTTGCATTTGTCCCCCTTGGTACCAGTAACCCTCCGCCATGAAAAAATCCCCCACCCCCGCCCCTCCCCCCGCGCCCCTCATTCAATGTGCACTTTTTTCAATTAGATCACACTAATTAAAGATGTCGAAAATGTATGCAAAACCTTCATGGACCACTTGGTTTTCCAACTCCCATCACCCCCCTTAACCCAGTTATGACCCCTCTCACCTACCCCTCCCCCCTCAACCCCCNCCGCCCTCCACCCCAAACCCTTATTAGCCATTTAAGAGCCACCGAGCCGATTCTGAAAGCAAGAAATATATATTATATATACACACACACACACACACCAACACCCTCTCACCCACACACACACACTCATATACCTAGGCGGGGAAAATCTTTTAAAGACTTCATCTTAGGCAGCTAGGAACCCAAGATGGGTGTGTGGGATTTCCACCCACTAAAAACCCCTCCACTTTGGGTGAGCAAATTGGAAAAAAAAGAAGCACTGAATGAATGTTGTCTTGAATCCCGTGTAAAAATATTGGCAGCAGGATCTGTGTTCCAAAATAGTATAGACCTACAGAAGGCTGTAAGTTTTCCTATAGCTTCTGTAGCCGACTATGCAATTTCTTATAGCCTTTTATAGCCCGCGGCAAAAAAGCTACAGCCAGGCGATATACTGTAAAGCCCGGTGATAGGAACCATAGCCCAGCTGTATAAGTGTTTATCGCTTCGTGTAGCCCAGCTGTATAATTTTTTGTCGCTTCGTGTAGCCCGGCTGTGTGACTCTCTTCGCTCTCTACAGCCAGTTATATAATTTGCTATCGCCTTTTATATCTGGCTCTAAGAATTATTCATCCTAATTCAATGAAAACGAGACGTATGTAAAAGCCGTAAGTGCACAAAAAATGACACAGTTTTTTTTCAAGACAGCCGTAGGAAAACAGCCGTAGGAGAGCCAAGGAAAACAGTGCTTTCCAGTAAAGTGCCGCCCTCCTCTGCCAATTTCTAACCTGAAAATGTGTTTGTTGTGCGTCCAAAACGCAACCACGAAAGCATGCAGAAGATAGCACTTACGGCCGAACAATAACCGTCTTGCATGACAATAACCTAGCATGAAAATGAAAAATACCCTTTTATGTAATGGAAATAAAATCAGTCGATTTTTAATCACCCATAGGATTTCTAGGAGTCTTTCTGGACGATTAGTGGCAATTTGACAAAGAACGGAGGCTTCTTTCAATAAAATGATCTTGTCAGAAGCGTCTGAGCCCGTTTTCTCATAACTTCATTTTTGCACTTACGGCTCTCTTCGCTATCACAGCAGAACTAACAGGGCGTCAAGCATACACACACACACACTAATATCAGCTCGTAAAATA